GTTATTTTGGGGCTGAGGCTTAAACTTTTCCCATTAAAAGCTCCCATTGAAAAGCTTTATTCATAGACAACATTGCTCATTTTGGATAGAGCCTTATTTTGAATAAATCTTGTTTGATTTTAGAGAGGGGAGATCTTTGAGGGGAGCGCTTGAACAGGGCATTCTGCTGGCATATGTACATCAACTTTTACACATTTAAATTAGGTGTCACATGCATGCATCACGTTGAGCACATGACAAAATACAGCCCACATTTGCACGAATTTGTCAAAGAAATTTCTTGCCATCCAGCAAATAATTCTGCAACAGGAATGCTCATCTTCAATAGAAAATGGTTCTTAATACGAGACTGTATCTGATTGGTGATTGCAGAAACTGCAGTTGCTATACTTGGAACACTGTCGCAGCTTCAGCATGTATGGCTCGGCATTTTTCTTCGGTTCAGCTCAACTGGGTCCGTCACCGGGCAGACAGTCTGGTTCCAACCGGTCGCCGGCAGTCTTTGTCGGGGTCAACTCGAGGGGTATTCACGTCATCAATGCAATCAGTAAGGTACGTGCCATTTCACAAGCTGGGCCAAGAGATTGTCTGCCAAATGTGGGTTCAGACCCTGAGAAGACTTTTTTTCAGGCTTGTGTTGCTCAGCAAGACACTTTGCAACAATAACCTCTTGCCATTCAGCAGTGAATGGATGTACATGAGCATTTATAAAGGCGAAATAGGTTTCCGTCATTCACATAGGTCTCAGTGGTATGTTTTAAGATAGCAAGCTGGGAATTCCACGAGAGAAGATTTCAGTCAAAACATTTTTCTCTCAAAATGGCAACTTTAGCACTTGTACGTCTTTTGTCAGGATTTGTTTTTTCTATAATATAACACAGACATGATGAATAAATCGAGTTACTTATGACCAAATCTGTATTCCAGATGTCATGTTATTTAAGGTGCACAATAGCACTGTGATAGTACTATTGATGTCCAATGACCAGTACTCATTTGGCAACCAGGCTGAAATATATCATGTAAACGTGGACAACCCTTGTACACAAACAAGGCTTGTTGCATGTCTTGATCAGTAAACGTTTGGCAATTGTGTCATCATGGCGCTTTGCACAGCATTTTCTGATCTTTTCTCACCTTCACAGTCCATGATACTAAGCGAGAACTACAGACAGGGTCTAACGTGGCAATGCTCTCCCGACATGCAGACACTCAAACTACACATCCAGGACCACGGAGGCACAATACGCGCCATGCCCATCAGATCCAAGCAAGTAGGTCTACCTGCTGCCTGCCTTTGGCCATTCTGAATTTTTCTCAGGCACAATTTTTCTGCAACTCTGTACTCTTCTTAAACGAAGAGTGCACTCTTTGTAAAAATTTCACATTATCCATGCTTTCTTGGGCAACTGAGGATGCACTGTTGCTGTGATGTGATCCAGGGAGGGCATAGTTCAGTGCATAGAATCTTACAAAAATAGTGCAGGAACTTTACATGCACAAACAAATGCTACATCAGTTTTGCTTGTGAATGTGGAAGTCTCATTAGCAAAAAAATCCCCAAAAGGCAGCAAACTGTACTTCTCAAAATAGTGAAATAAAACTCGAAAATGAAGTTATCTGAGGCAGAAAGGTGTATGAAGGTTTGGAGGTTTGTATTATAAAAACAAACTCCATTGCAGCTACCCTCCTTATGGATATGATAGAATACCCCATCTATATTACTTGACTTTGGATTGAAATAATGCATACACTGTGGCAGCATTTCCCATAGACATGTTAACCATAACAGTCCCAAATCCTCCAATTAGGGGGTTATGGTTAATATATGTTAGTGGCTGTAGCCAGGTATGTCTGATATGGCCACACCCTTCATACCATGAATCACGTTGTTCAGCAAAGTCAAAGTTTACCAAAATATCTGCAATTTTTCCACCATACATACACTGTATGCTTACTTGGATCAAAGGAGCTCTTTGAAGGCTTGCCTGCTATGTAGATAACCATCAAGGCACCGTTATTGGTTCGCACTATGATGGCGGATGGATGTTGAGTCATGTGGGTCAGTGAGATTACCCTATAAATTCTGAATTTCCGTACCTTGTTCTATCACTGTAGGCTGCAATCATCGGCAACCTAGCCAATAAGCTCTCAGGACGACAACCTGTTCCCAGCACTCAGCCGTCGGTGACGATTGGCAGGACAGCCAGCTCCTGAACCCAGCCACGAGAGGGCACCGACCCCTTCAAACAACTCGGCCCTGAAAAACTGAAAAAGAATAGAACTCAGCCATCTGTATGTGTGTGTGTTTGCATGAACGTCAAATGTTATTTGCACCTTTCTTGCAACATTTGTGGGACTACTATTCTAGATGCTGGTGTGGCACAGTATATTGACTCCAAGGGATGAGTGCACTTATGGCTGTAATGCACATGACTGAGTGCACAGCCAACATGGATATGAGAGGTTTGGAGTCCACATTTCTTATGACACCGGCACCGGTCTTTTCCAGTGATATTGCTGAAAATAAATGGACAGTCCTTGCTTTTAAGACACCTCTACATTTTTGTGTCACTAAGTTTTCAATCTTTTTACAAGGTGTGTCTCATTCTAAAGTTACTTTTGCAGCCTTCGGAAATCTTCCTCTTGCAAAGCTGAAAGACTGAGGAATCTTTTGGTGGAAGGCATTTCAAGGAAAATGTGAAATTCTTACCAATTTTGGAAGTTAAAAGACAAACAAAAGCAGAGTCCTAAAAGTAAGGATTGCCAGTAAATGGGATCTACATGTACCGAAAGATGCAGGCTTGTACATGTAGGTGTCATTTTCTCACATCAGCAACAGTATGATGCAGTGAAGGATACAGTTGTAGAATTGCCAAGGTGTTCACAAATAGCCAAGGGAAGCTTTCATAACTTTATCCACTAAATACTGTCATAATTCCATTACAGTACTCCATACATACCCAGCAGTTCCACGTAGCATTTAGTCATTCAATGAATGACCCATTTAACGTACACGTGCGAGTGCAAATCCCATGTCTGCCCAAGATGCAGGTGTGTTGCAGGGGAAAAATACATGTTGTGTGTGTGATGTAGTAAGCAATGCATGGGTGCTCGCAAATTTATAATTTCAGCTTTCTGTGATTTGATCAGTGAGGTATCAAAGCTGTGCCACACAAAGTTGTGCAAACTCAAGTCACATTTTGAAAACCAAGCTTTTGTCAGCTTGGTGATTTGTGGATAAGCACTCTATTTCACATACAAACTGCTCAACTTAAGTGATTTATAGCATAATACACAGACAACGGCTTATCGGCAGTCGACAGACATGTCAAACGATTGTGGCGCAGGTTTTCAACTGTTCCGACATTTGGCAAGTAAATTCTAAAACATTTATATGAGAATGTTGTTATGCTACAAGTAATTTGTAATCAAACGTTTATATCGGGGAAACTATCGATGACGCCTGACTGCCACAAACCAAACCTTGACAATGTCAGTTTGGTATTCATGGAAAAGAACCAAAAAAGCAACGTGTAGCTGACATGTCAGATATGTGCACAGCAATGTATGTTGGAACCTTTTTAGTTCCATACCCAGTTCATGGTTCTTACCTCAAGTTCTTCTGCTGGCTGCACCCTCAGTTGTGATAACGTATTTATGGGGTCTGAAGTCCACTTGTATTCCCGGTGTGTAGAAATTCCCCTCAACAGAAACAGGTGTCGGTGGTAGAATGTTTCAGCTGGACTCCTGGTACATGTTAGATGGTACATTCCTATAGAAATGGGTAGCACTTGTTCAACACTACTTACGCTAAGCGTGCATGAACCTGTGTGTGTGCAGTGCATCTCCACCCATAGGGACATTGTGGCTGTTTAAAAAAGCATGCCATTTTACTTACTCGAGGAGCAGATGGACCAATTAGGACATGCAATTGCTGTACACTCAGGCTGGCCCCCAATGAAGGGTTAAGCACAACACAATTTATGCATGTGATACCATTCAGAACACCAATTTCAAGACCCATTCAGTTTCAAGGCAACTGAGCAGGGAACCAGACATGGCACTGATGGACTTCCTAGACAACCCTCCCTGCCTACGTGAAGATGAACAAGACATAGATAAAATGGATGGATCATACACAGTCCCCACAAGACCAACTGTTAGCCACATCTGAGTCAAAGTTTAAGAGTGGTCATTTAATCATTCTGTGCCATAGTTCACTGGCTTAACGAATAGCAAAATACGACCCACCACTTCAAAACCAGGCTGAAGATGTCTAAGCTATTATCTGCAAATGATACCAATAAACATGAAAACAGCAACAACGCAATATTCCACAACTTTCACTGCCTGTAACCTCCCAAGCTTTCTGCAGACAAATTTTTCTACTCTGGATCACTTTGAAGAATGAAAATTAACGATTGGGGAGAGGAATTGTTAAATGTTAACGTTACCTACTTCAGCCTGTTTTTGGAATGTGGGATCACAAATTTATTTGGTGTTAAAGCAGGAGGTCATGCCAAGATGTTACTGTTTCAAATACACATGAAATCTACCATATATTACTAATTTGGTATTCAAAGCTGTTGCCCTGTTTTAAATATTTCACGTTTTTCTGTGTCAAGTAAAACTGTCACATGTAAATAAAGGGAGAAACAAGTTTTCCGCGTTTGAATCTGCTTATTTTACCTCAGTTTTTTTTTACTCGATGGTGCTTCCACAAATATTGGAGTTTGCGAATTGAGCATAAATTGTAAGTTGCAGATTTTTGACTTCATTGACACGTCACTGACCACCCACCTTAATGATTCTATTAGTCAAAATTATTCCACCTCACCAAATAATAAATACATTTTCCCCATGCAGAGGTCTATCTTGTTCATGTAGATACTAGGTCGACTCGGCTATACTTAGCCTATGACATGAAACACTTGACATTAATGATAAAATTTCTCACTTCATTCTGAAAGTCTAGGGCAAAACAAGGAGTCAGTGTTGTTTTGTCTACACAATAGCAAGTTATTTCAATCTCTCAAGCCAGTCAAACCAACCTGTCAACATCATTTTTGACTGAAGGTTTTCTGCACAACTGAAAACATGAGTTACTGTTGAAACTACACAGAAACTGATCCGACAACTCAAATTCAAACAAACAAGTTTCTTTTGAAAAAAAACCGTACCAGTTTACTAGTCTGACCTGGGTTACAGTGAAAATGAGTGGCTACTCATTTTCAGTTCATGCACAAACAGGAATGCTCAAAGTCCAGTTAAAACATGAATTGTTGACAGGATTTTATTATCGAGGTTACAGTCTTTGGTACACAGAGGATCTGTCATCAATAGGTAAGGAACGGCTGCATTCAGAAGTCATAGCTGTGGCTATTACACATGTATCTATGGAAGTGGTCACAGCCACTAGCCGACGACTTCCATAGCAGACTTGGTGCCAAGTCGCTAAAAGTAACAGTCTGCAAGTAGCTAAAAGTAATTGGGTTATATTATCTGCACAGGAATACCGGTTGCCTTGTCCCCAACTTGGAGACGATAAACGGAAGTCAAAACTTGGCTAGTTACTCATCTTTAGTAGAGCCACGCCAATAGATTTAGACGGACAAAATACGACTTTTTAACGACTTGCCATCAGGTCCACTTCCACAGCCTGTTTACATTACACATTAATGAAATACATGAACATCCAACAATTGTTAAATTACGCTGATGTTTTTAATACACATGGACATTTTTAATGAGTCTTCCACACACCCTATCCTGTACTTTTGTTTTGTTTTTTTTTCTCTGCCGTGGCAAATAGGTGGATAATTTGAAGCCCCCAAGCAATACACACATGACTCTGCACAGTACATTTTCACCGGTTAGCACAAATACACGACAGACTTTCTGTGTTCTTCCCCCTCTTTTTAGTTGAGTATTCAAAGAGCAAATACTACATGGTAATAAGCTTACCTTTTTTTCAATCTGAGTACATTAAGGTTGTTCACATGAAAGCAGCTTATACAAAAATGACTTGCCAAGCCATTTTTGTCCTTTTGGTCAACCATACAGGTCTTTATTGAGCTTTCTTTTGTACAGTCTGGCACCCTGTAAGGAATGTTTTAATAAGATATAGTCACACAAGTCATCCTCCTTGTTCTACCGTATTTTGTGTGTGTTCCCTTTTTGCATGCAATACAACTCTTTCACTTCATGAACCACCCATAAATACTTTTTTGTCCTTGTACGTACAATCTGAGACACTTTTTCAGTTTGACTTCTCAGCTGCTCCAGAGATTTCACATAAGGGAACTTGTCCTGCTAAATTTCACACCAGAAATCTGACCGTCTCTGTCAATCCCGCGCTCGTGAATGATCTACACTTCTGTACATGCATATGCCTTTTGTCTCACACTAAACACTTTCACAATATGCAAACTCCATAAAAATTGCACGATCATAAAATCCGATACTGGATGTAATTACACATCACTACTGGCAGTAACCATTCAAAGCACATCATTTTAGATTTGTCACAACTGGAAACACTGTTCTCCAGGCATTCTGTCTACAACTACAGGTTAAGACACTTTGCAATCATCACAAGTCAAATTTATTGCACCTCAGGTAAGTAGGCACATAAAAGTAATCAACCACCTTAATGGGTGTTGTGTGCATAACGTGTGATATTATTTCACTCAATTCAATTTATGTATTATGGTTATTTCTGTGCAACAGATACATGAACACATGAAGGAGAGCCTTTTATATATATTTTTCTTACAAGGAGAGGAATGCACATTTTCTGTTACTGTTGACAACGATGTCCTATCCAACTAACATTGCACAGCATGACTAAGCTCAGATTTTTTGCTGGCGCGTGTAACTTTTACACAAATGAGAGGAGAAAGCAATAATTCTCGGGAAAAGGAAACTGGCCAACTACAGATTAAAATTTGTGCAAGAAAACACCAAAGTGATTCATAAGCAAAATGAATGATGATCAAACTATTTATGTCAGTTCACAGCAATACCTGCGCTAATACATAATCATCGCTTACGTATTTCAGATCTCATAAATAAATATCTTTTCTGTTTCATCATGCATAATATGTACAATGGGAAATAAAGCAATTCTTTTTGAAGAAAACAACACAGCTATATACACTGCACTAAAATCATAGAAATTTGTTGCGAACATCAATAAAAATGAAATTTGTTGCGAACATCAATAAAAAAAAACTAGATGGCATTTAATACTTTAGCCGAGGAAATGTGAAAAAACAGAGATGACGCCGTGCTATAATACAAGTGCACATTAAATATGTGGTGGTTTACCCTTTCATAGAAAATACAGAACGCAGACAATACTTTTCTTCAATACCTGGAAACCAACCGGTAGGTACATTTTTGTACCCACAAAGTTCCAGCACCACACCATGGCACTGCTTTACACTTTAAGATCACAAGGACATCATCAGCTTTAGTAAACAATGTCCGAGCTATCCAGTCCTGAACCAATCAAGAACTTACCCTTAGTTCAGGGTTTTGTAAGTCCATGTACTGACTATGTCCCACTTTATTTACATGTGAACTTTGCTACAGACTGGGTGGGGTCCCATAGTCCACCGAGCACAAGAAACCACATGCGTAAACAAAGTGTGGAATCATCAGAACAGAGGTCCATTGATTCGGAAAACTTTGTGGCTTTCTGGTTTTTAAACATTTTTTTCCTCATAGATTTTGTCCAATTTTGGCACACTCCCAGTCTTTTCAAGTCCTTCTGGGAAACCAAACTATCCACAGCCAATGAAAAGAAATGTCAACACTCTTTTAATCTTATACCTCACATGCAGACTCATAAACATCAACAATATCTGATCTCGAGACACCTGTACGCTAATTGAAACATCCAACATCACACCTGTACACTAATTGAAACATCCAACATCACACCTGTACACAAGTCATGCCAAAAACTTGAAATTCTGTTGTACAATACACAAATTACCCAATCATTTTCAAGCATATTTGAATGACAATGAATAGATAACCTATGCATTTAATAAGTAAGTATCAATCTTAACTACAACATGTTTTTTTTATTTAATGGGGGGGGGGAAGGAAACCAATTTAAGAGCAATACATAGACTTTGAATAGTACAAATTCCTGGTTCTTGGCAATTACAGCATTCTTCTGCTGCTAAACTTTTGTTACTTTATACAATTACAAGGACCAGTAATGCAGAGTATCAATGAGGATTAAGCACTGATAGTTAAAAGTAACATTAAAAAAAAAATTCTCACGCAAGATACTAACAGCTCTTTATTTCTGTTTAGTTAAGGTTTCATTAGTTACTTGCAGGCATTTAAATGCTCACTATAAATGTGAATTCCCAGAGAGATAATGAAAAAAATTCTGGGATCTGAATTTCGAGAGCTTAAACTGCCTCAACAATACATGTAAACTGTGTCGCAGACTTACAGAGAGCCTCTTGTATTAACACAGCACTGAAGTACTAGGAAATTCTGAAGTAAATATTTCATTTCAAAGTTTGTGTCAAGTATAGGCTGCGCTGAGTGAAACTTTCTCAAATAAGTTTTTAAAGTTGAATGAATGCCCGGACTTAAAAGGCTGAATGAATGAGTGATTGTCCAAAACTAAACTTGTCAAACCAAATTCCACTCGAATTGATACGATGAGATAATGAGCAGGGTACCAACCGGCAACAGAGAATGTCCCTTCAACCAACAGACTTTAGCTTGGGTACCAACTCAAACACATTTCTGCTTGGTCTCATGACAAAAATGAAAGAATTGCTGTCACGTTGCTATTTACATGAATGAATCAACTGATGAAATGATTCATTTTTATGATTTTGTTTCTGCAATTCTGAGATAACTGTCTTGATTATGTAATTTATTACCCAATTCAAGTACACATACACGTCACACCACAAACAAGACTTGTAGGTATTCTCTGCACTCTGTTTGAAGGTAGAATACAGAAACGGAGAAGAGATCATTCTGGGCTCTGGTTAGTCTAGACAATCCTCCGGCAGCTTGTCATGTCTGGTCAGCAGATAGCAGGCCTCCAAGGTGGTAAACATGTGACCCCACTGACCTGGGTCAGCCTTGACCTCCATCAGGTCATTGATGAGCTGGATCTCTGAGCCCAGGTGGGGAATCCTGAAAGAAGAATGGTCACAAGTTTAAAATATTATTTTTTAAGCACTCTGATGGCTAGGCGAAAATACAAATGTACAACACACAAGACAAGAAACTCCAAAACAAGTACTCGTGATTAATTCCAGGAACATTAGAAAGTGCACAGTGATTGCAAACTGCTAAAATGCATATAGATCTTCACTCGCTCTTGGTCTGCATACCGCCCTCTCTTGTTTGTACACATAGCCAATAACAGCAGATATCTAAGGGTGTGTCTGAACACCCATGTCAATGGGACCGCCCAGTAGCTTCGAAAGGCGCGTGTGTTATTTTCAGTCGCAACCTTGAGTAGGCACACAACGTTGAACCATGGTGACATCATTTCAACACTTCGACGAGAGGAGTGAGGGAGGGAGGGGGGGAAGTAGGGCAGGGAAGGATTTTTCAGTGCACAGTGACCACGTGCCTGGACTCGTCTACACAAACCAGCTTACCTTGCTCGTATGACCACATACTGGAAGATAGGGAACAGCTCATCCATACCCAGTGTGACGTTGTCCGAGCAGTGGGCCTCAATGGCTTCCTTGATGGCCTCCCATGCCGTATGGATGATCAGAAGCTTCTGGCGTGGACTGAACGTGGTGCTCATGTTCTGCAGGCACTCCACGGCGCTGATGTAGGAGACGTCGCGGATCTCTGATATTCTCTAGAGAACAAGACGATAAAACTTGGATCAGATTAATACACAGAAACTACATATCAATTCTGAACATGCTTCTGACACGCCGCCTTCTAAATAATGAAGCAGACTTTGAAACAAAATAAGCTTGTGTATTCTCATGTTTGACATATTTACCACAAATAAATGTACTCAAGTAAATTAAGATGTTAACAAATGATACATTTCTACTAAAGGTGGAACATTTACACATTTAAATGAAAAAGTTCTGAATCAGTTGACAGATTTTCCGTTTAAACGGAACCGCCCCCTTTAGAGGTTTGACATTTTAATTGACACAATCTGGTGTTCAATTTTATCGTAAACGATGCCTGTAAAATGTAATCTGATCTTCAGAGCCCTTTACTGCTCGGTCATATCAAAGGAATACCATAAATCCATCACTGGAACTTTGAGTCAACCATGTATGCAATTTGTTGTGTTTAAAGTATTTAATGACACCATGGTAAAGGTGGGACGTTTACATGTTTAAACGGGATGGGAAAGTTTTCTCAATGTTTTTCAAATTAAATGTAAATTTCCACCCTTAGTTTTTACATCAATCTCTACCTGTGATAACCTGACAAGCTGGTCCATCAAGGAGGGATGGCAAAAGTATTAAATTGAAGAGTTACCTTATAAATCATTAATCATCATTATAAATTTTGTAAAAGAGAATATTATAAAAGGCTTAAAAGCAAAGTCATAAATGTATTTCAGTACCTTCAAGGAGTCCTTCACAACTTCTTCCAATAGCCAGAATTTTCTATTAATAAAACAAAGAGTCTATGTATAAGGGTAGCTTGGATACTGATGGTCTTGTCCATCTGTTTGCTGATTGTCATGTTATGTCCCCACCTACTCTACATCTACTGTCAGCCTCGAGCTATGTCAATAATGCTGTCTACTTTCATCCTTTAGTCTGTTTGTGAATTGTCAGCTGTTCATCTATGTTTTTGCTTTCCCTACATACAGGTCCATCGCGAGGGTTGTGCCATGAGGGTTGTATCAAGCCTCGGTTTTCTTACTCTCTTCATCTTGGTTCATCTGTCAACCGTCAGTTATCCATCTGTCTATCCTTTCATTCTTGCCTACTTACTGGCTCACCTTGATGCATGCCATGAGGGCTATATCAGGTATCCCACCCAGTCTCTGGCTCTGCATCAGCCCTGATGGTTGGTGTCATTTGTCAGTCTGTTTGTCCACCGTCGGCTGTGCATCTATTTGTTTTTCCGTATTTAATGGTCCACCATTGAGGTATGCCACAGGGCCGTATCAGGTCTGCTGTTCAGTTTCTGATTCTGGTCTTGATCATGTCATTCCTCAGTCTATTTGTCCACTGCCAGTTACCCATCTGTCTATCCATTTGTTTCTTGCTCCTTATTAATCCACCTTGAGGTATGCCAGAGTGCCAAATCAGGCCTCCCGCCAAGTTTCTCATTCTGCTCAGTCCTGCTGGTTGATAGCATTCCATGGTCTGTTTGTCCAGTGTCAGTTATCCATCTGTCTATCTGTTTCTTTTTTTCCTAATTACTGGTCTACCTTGAGGTATGCCACGAGTGCCATATCAGGCCTCCCACCAATTTTTTTTAGTCTGGGTCATTCCTACTGGCCGATGTCATTCCTTGGTCTGTTCTTCCAGTGTCATTTATCCACCTGTCTATCCGTTTGTTTTTTTCCTACTTACTGGTCCACTTTGAGGTATGCCATGAGTGCCATATCAGGCCTTTCATTGAGCCTTTTCAATCTCTCCTGGTACTGTTGGTCTTCTTCCTCATTCTTCAGTGCATACAATGTGAACAGGGCTGGGTAGAGGCGGGGTAGTACTATCGGGTAGAGGAGACCATCACTAGTAATGTGACAGGTGCTGCACACACAAAAACATGGAAGGACAACGTCAAAGTCACATTGCAGCTATAAGTGCAGTATAATTGTGGGCAGGGGCTCTTCCTAGTACTAATGTGAACTACATACATGTATATCAAGCATCTTATCTGCATCAACAGCTAACCTGTGCCAGAGTTGACATTATGACCTAGATTTGCATATAATCATGTCCACACCTCTATGCCGTTTGACCAATCAATCATTTACTCAAGCTCTCAAATTAGCATCTCCACAGATAGGATGTAACTATGGCCCTTGGGCCACATATCCAACTTACATGTCATCGGTAGACTCTTGCCTAGGTTTGCTGGCCGACTTGGCTATCTGTGCCTCAACTGCTGGTGGTGCGTGGCTGTCGCTGTAGTCGTAGTAATAATGGAAGTCGGAGGTGTGGTGATCGTGAACTGGGGTTTCGGGTTTTGTCGGGTGCTCGTTGGGAAGGTCACTGAAGAGCACCCTGGAACACAAGAAGTGTAGGCATAAAAACATGACATTTACTCTTGGTGGATAAAAATATGAACATCCAGGGTGAAGAAGAGAAAGAAATAATGCAAATGCTGCAAAACAGAACAAGAGCAGGACCTTCAGTGACTGTATGACACTACAATTCCTAGTAAATTCCTTGATAATTTTGTTCAGTATTTACTACCGCTTATGCTGAACTGCTGCTCAGTTGTTCGTATTTTCTTACCGGACTAGTTGGTATATCCTCTTGACGTACGATTTGATCTCGTCGACAGCGTAAGGCAGTAGCCAGCGATGGGCGCCCAGACCAATGTAGGTCTCCCGGTAGGCTATGCACAGATTCTCAAGGAGTTTGCCCAAGGGGTGAAGAGAGGTATCAAAGGCCTACGGGGGAGGGAGGTTGTCACATCAACAACGGTTAAAAACATATTTTGACTGTCAAATTTTTGGGGTGACAAGAAGCATTAGGGACACTATACAGCCACAAGACTAATACAAACACCGCGCTTGGTGAAGGTGCATACAGTGCGCATGCATCCGAAATGTGCCATCGGTTGCATTCATTCTCCAAGAACTGGTGGACTAACGGGAGGTCAGTGAATGGGTCTGCAGGACTGCATGTTACTCCTGACACCCCCGGGTGCAGAAGATGTGCGTGACTTACTCTTGGATCATACTGTGCAAACAGTCAACATTCACCTTTCTGATCGAAACTATGCTTTTGGCTCTTCACGAACTCAGGAGAGTACTCGTTTTAACAAGTGTTATACATCTCAAACACAGCCAATGTGCGATTGCTCCTAGGCGACCCTACCTTGGCCAGGTATTCCTGGATTGACTTGTAGTCTTCCTCGGTGATCTTGCCTTTGCTCTGACCACTGCTGGGGATCTTCTGCAGTTCCTCGACTACCTTGCTCCGCTCGTCCTTGTGCAACCTGAAAAGCCACAGCATGAAACTAAGCCAACTTCACACGGGAGACTAAGCAAATTTTATCATCCAACAGACATGGTGTCCAGCTTGTAGAGGGCAAGTCTTTAGTTCTGCTTGAATAAGCATCAATCCATTTTTAAGCACTTGTTACTGAAACTGACAAAATGTAGAGATCTCACCAGAAAAGCATTGCAAAACTGAGTAAATGATCCAACTGCAAAGCAAACCCCTATCATGCATCAATTTTTCAAAACCTTTTCCAAGTGATTTCTCTTGGTTGGAGGCCAAAGTTTATTACTACAGTGTCAACAAAACCTTCATTTTTACACACCCTAAAAAAGCAGCTCACCTCTCCATCTCTTGCTGTGTCCGTGATGAAATCGCCACAGCAATGGCTGCCCAGGCTTTCTGGGAGTCTGGTCGCTTGCTCTCCATCAAACCCAGAACTGAGCGAACCTGGTTGAAGACATCTTCCCATTTTTCGTCTGCTGCTACAGTGAATTTACCAATTGCACTGATTGAAAAGACAAAAAAAAATCTACGATTAGCAAACAGAGCACTTTCCATTCAAAGTGCTCAAAAGATCGATAATCCATTGATAGAATCCTTAGATGAGAAAAATAAAAAAATACAACTCATTAGGACTCACTGCAATAGCAACCAATTTTATAGGTCAGTCAACCCTTACCAGTTTGACTGTCAAGTAGATTACTGTCTGTGCTTGGAAGTAGGAAATCCAGGATTCATGTTCCTTGAGAAGTGCCTTTTTTCCCCCAATAACTCTCAGAAACAGTTGAGGAAGTAGAATGCTTATAATTGGCAGCAGGGTTAACTTAACTGTACTGGCACCTTATCACCCAAGCTACACAGCTAAATGTTTTCCAGTTGGACACTTGTCTTTGCTCTAGATTTGGATAATGAGCAATGCATCTGAACTGACACTTACAGATTGGAAGAATGCCACCAAGATACTGGAGAGAAGTTATCAGAAAGTTGATACATTTGTAAACCACGACATGGCTTCAAATTTCGCTTAAGTGAAATTTTTTAGGCTCAGCAGTCAATGTAATCGATTAGCGAGAAATTTTCCAATTCAGTGATGATAAAAGACAGTTCTGTTCTGCTGCTGTCAGAAGGCCACAAACCAACTGCAATGTTCTAACGGTAGTAAAGTGATGGGTGACAAGGGGCCCATTGCTGGAGAATGACTGACACTTAGATTTTGATTTTAACTTGGTGTGCATCATCAACCTAACTGCATGTACCCTCCTTGGGCTTACTTGGTCAGTCTGCTGTGGTCAGGGATAGAATCTGCAGCTTTGCTGAATGTTCCGTTAACCTTGACACCGTCGCCCCATAGGCCGCTGAAGCTGCCGTCAATGAAGTCTCCAGACGGTAACATCAGAACTCCCTGGCAAGAGGAGGAAATACTGGCCACTTTGAATCATGAAATGTATCCAGACGACAGATTCCGCTTGTGAACCGGAGAGAGAGCTCATTTATCGGGCAGTGATTTCCCTTGTTCACTTGGAAGTACACCTGACTATTAGATGTTGCTAATCCGAGGGATGACATGGGCAGTGGGCACACACGCACAGCACCAATGGTAATTGATTGTTGCACCTGCCCTTCTAAAGTCACTGGTGGTAGGGTATTAGTGTACAGAGCAGATACAAGCAGTTCAGGTGACCGTCAGTTTTCCAGCTAATGGTCACACACAAGAGGCTTTGCTAGGAAGCTTTCTGAATCTTATTCCTGACACTGTGCAGCAGTAAAAACTGATGGCATCTTTGTGCACTTGAATTAAAAAATTACGTTGATTTAAGTTGGACATAATCAACACAGTGCAAAGCCACGTGCAGCACTTTGGTGGATTTTGCAGAAATCAGATTAAATCTGAGCTAGCACACTTGCATAACAAAATGCTGACCATTTCTAAGGCCCACTCTGCTGATAGACACAGCCATACCTTGCCACTGAGTGTAGGTCCCGTAGTCAGCTCTCCTTCATAAATGGTGCCATCCTCAGTCAGTAAAACACCCACGCCCTGAGTACATAAGAAAGTTAACACTCAGCGTAAAAACCAAGACAAGGGAGTAGGCAGAACAACCTGATCAGTGAAGGATAAATTCACCCACGTCCTTCAGTTTCAGTGGTCGCTGATTTGGCTGAAAATGCTACTTGATAAATCCAAAACTTAAAAGTTACATTCTTCATTCAGCATTCAGTTTCTAAAAATAATCAGTTTCTGTGAATGATTTCTTGATCATTTGATAAAGAAATGGTCAAAAAAAAAATGGGGGACTGTAAGAGAAAAAAGCTTGTACATCAAACCTCTGATTTTCTGAACTGTCCTGAACAACGGGTTGTAAACATCCTGAATAAGAATTCACATTTCTTACACAGTGTATGAAACACTGATTGAGTAACTCCTCTCTCACCGTCAGTTTGTTTTGCGCAAAGACGCCCTCATAGTATAATCCATCCAGCGTAATGACCATCCCGTTGCCGTGCCGACAGCCGTTCTCCCACTTGCCCATGTACTTCTCTCCCCGCTGCCTTTCCTCCACGATTCCGTAGCCGTGGCGACGGTCATTCTGCCACTCACCGATGTACAGGTTACCAGTGCTGCTATGCAGAATGCCATGCCCATGCCTCCTTCCATCGTTAAAATCTCCTTGGTAAATGTCCCCATTGGAATATCTGTTTCCCGGATCAAATATTGCGGTAACATTGTCATTACTAGACTCAGTTCATAAGCTCATGACAGTTTCTAGATAATCAAATACTGGACAAATTGAAAAATAAAAATAAATATCGGAGAAATGAGGATACCATGCACTGCTTGAATTTTAATGTCTGAAAATCAAACTTTAAAGGAACAAAACTAAGAAAAATTGATCTAAATATCAACTAAAATTTTCCGTAACTGCTAACTCTCAGGCTTTCTATTTTAAAACTGACAATTTGCAATATATTGTAATTAATATGCAATGCGTGAAAACCATATTGGTTTTCGCTTTTCTCCAAAAGTCAGGAGTTACTGTGCACCAACTTTTAACAGTCGTTTAACTTTTTACAGCAGCGAATAATGTAAGCCCAAAAACCAACAGTGTGCAAAACAGTAAGTACATGTACACGATCCAATAATATAGCCTTGTTGAAACTCTGTAAACGAATGTGAAAAAGTAACCCAATCCATCATAACTGAATGGGTACCATTTCAAAAGGTAAGACGCATGTACTGCTGTGAGCTGATTATGCAAATTTATAGGTGTGGCTAGAGGTGATAGACAGCCTTGGGTTAGTTACTCTTCCTCCTACCTTAAGCTCCCATAGCCACTCATGCAGTTCTCCTGCCACTCTCCCTCATACACCTGCGCCCTTACGCCTTTCTCAGTACTGGGGATTGTATACACACCGTACCTGCAAATGAAAAGCATTTAGTTCAAACTGACAGTCTGCTACATTTAGGATAGCCTTGGCTTTGGCTACTATTTTTCAGCAGCAGGAGCGGGTGCATGTAGAGGTTACTGCAGAAGAGTAATTTCTTTTATAGCTACTTCCAAAGAACTCTATATCCACATACTAAACAGTACCCTTTTTTACTTAAGGAATTCAGTAGCTTCAAGTTAGGATATTATTAATTTAAGTATTGACTGGCTAATCACATGCTTTCCTGTATATAATCTGTCAATGTTACATCCAAGAGTATTTGATAAATCCATCCAGGATTACTTGCTGTAAATCTGATAAAAGAGTGCTGAAAATGAATTGAGCTCCAAGTAAAATGGTTGAAAACATCAAAAGGTAGGTCCCACAAATGTGAGCCCAACTCACCCGTGTTGTTGCCCTTGAACAAACTGACCAGCATACTTCCGTCCATCGGGCCACTGCAAAGTGCCTCTGTAAGAAATTGGACGCAAACGAAATTGGCTTTAAATGTTAGGTATTAAAATCCTTCAGTGTTTTACAGACCTGGATCCAGGTCCGTGAAATACACGAGCAGAAAATGTTACATGCCAAGAGAACTCTGCAGTGAACTGGTGGCATGCAGTAAACAACACATCTTTTGACTGGTAACCTTAATTATACTTTGCGGCTGCTCTCAATTCGACATAAAAAGTAATAACAAACAGAACAGGCATTTTAACAATAAGAATAGCTATCTTACGTGAAAAACACCTTTTTGTGTAAGAAATGGTTACTTATCGCTGACAGCAGTTACATGCAATTGGCAAAATGCTAACTGTCATCAATCAGTCTACATGAGATGCTGGCTGCAAGCAGGAAGGAGATAATGGCATGATTTTACATAGCAATGACCTCCTTTGGTGGGAAGGTTTGGTGTACTGAGCATGGGCTGTGTTAGGTATACAGAATGTACGGCTTTGATAAGTGCACTGGATGGCTCGTGGAAATGGTCTCCATAAATCTCTCTTCGTTGCCACTGAAGAGGTACATGTACTTTGAGTCAGAGCGGACAATACATACTGCACCTTCCCACCTTCCCCCACAAGACCCATGTGAAACCCAGTTCACAAGCATGAAAACAAAGCCATTGTGATGTCACAAAGCAGTTGCAGTTAAATTTGCTTGAGTCAAATCGTGTTCAACTTCTGCTAATGTGTGGCGTGGATATTTAATCTGACGTCACAAAATTGGGTTCATGTTTGCTTTCAAGCCAAGCATGAATCGGCCTTAAACCAGTTCTTAAAAAAGATTTCAGAGCTACGTTGTGGGCTCACTTTCCGTGGGTTTTGCCCAGGTGCCACACTCCCTCGTACACCGCGTCTTTGAACTTGGACTGTCCCTGGAACACATATCGCCCCTGCCGCGTCAGCTTGGGTGGGATCTTCTGGCCCCCGGTAATGGCAGCAGGAGAGACGGATCCTGGCTTCTGATTGGTCAGCACGGTGTCAATGGCCTGATTGATGGACCACAGCCACTCGGCCTTCTCGGCGGGGGAGGGTGCTTGGAGTGTGAGGGAGGCTTCCGGCATGGTCAGTTGTATGGTGTTTCTAGAACAGATTGACAGTATAAAATTTATTCTTCAAACTTGTCAGTTTGGCCAAGAAGTAATCATCATGGACTTATGATGCATCACAAAGTCTACAGATGCATGATACATCACTTTATGATGCTTCAGAACTATTATTTGTCATTTCATGGTGAAAACAGGGCAGTGATGAAATCTTTGATAAATTGGGAGAAATACTACTAGATATATAATCCCACAGTAATCTTGCTGTCATGTGTAAACCTATAGCTAACCAACTGACAAAACAATTGGCTTGGGGAGTAAACAATTAGAAAAAAAGAGACTGACAATTCAATATAAATTTGCTTGCTGCTTTCTATTCTGTGGGAAAATGTGACAATTCTAAAAAGGGAAGGGTACTTACTGATTAGCCTGCTGGCCGGGTTCAGCCCATATCAGAGCAAGTGGATAGGCTTGATGAGTTGAAAACTAAAAAAGTAAAGTCAAGTTTGAATACCGATAAGCAAGATTTTAAACAAAAAATAAGGAAAAACTTGACACCGAGGATACAAGTCAACATAAACAGCAAAGTAAATTTGTGAAGCAGATTTAAAATTTCCACGTTTTGTTTCTAAATGCACAACTGACTGAACTCAGTCAAACATACATTGCACAAACACATTCTCTTTAGATATCAATTGTGAGTGTTTTCACAGGTGAGAGTGCTTCATTTATCACCTTGTCTTCCAGAACAAGGAATCTATCAAGATTCCAATCAAATGCACCACGTACATTTCTCTCATGTTGTTTACTTAAGTTGATGTTACAACAAAAACAGACTATCATGCAATGTTGTAATTAGTAACTTGGTAGTATATAAACACATAGAAATTTGTCAAGTAACCACGCATGCAGACAATTCTAATTAAGACACTGCTTGACAGATCAACCAAGCATACCATAGGGCAACATGAGTCCCTCTTTTCAAGACCATGCACAAATTCATTGCATTTGGAAACACCAGCATGCAACGTATAGTATTAGAACTTTTAAGGTTACAGTCTCAATACAATTCTGAGGAAGCTTGGAAAATGATACACATTTCTTTTGAACCCTTCGGTGTTTTACAAAACAAAATGTATAACCTTCATTTTCTCAGCAAACATGGATAATCTTCATCAGTAAAACTGATGCCTGCATTCCAAGTAAAAATCATCTTTTTCATGGTGTTGAAACTAACAGTAAAACGTCATGTTTCAATCTAGATGGCCTTTTCTCACTGCCCCAAATATTAGTGTTCGATCAAAGTCAAAGGCAAGCCATTCGGCACTGCTTAATTATAACATCCAACAGGGACTTTCAAAAGGAGTTTCCACAAATATATTCAGCCCTGGTTAGGGGCAGGATTTAGAGACCTTACCCAAGCAGAAAATACAGAATTGCAGCTAAACCACACATGAATGCTGAACCCCAACTCAATCCAACATGGGTCCTCTCACAGTAGACTCCAATCTTAATCTAGACAACATTTAGGCTACACCTGTACATGTAGCTGAAAGGACGGTGTAAAAAGGCCTAAGGCTAACACCAACTCTATTTAATCCATCCAATCCTAACATCTAGTTATCCGATGATCTGATGAACACAGGACATCAGACCCCTGCTGAATATCACACTGCATGGGGCTTTTTGGTACAAGCAAAAAACCAGACTTATGGATTGGGATGGATTCAGGGAGGTTCCTTGCAAGATGCCTCTGCCAGGGGTCGGAAGTAAATGAAGGGATGCAATGGGGAGTACGCTGTCTGGACAGAAAAGCAATGAGGCTCTGTAACAAGGTTCCATATGGAGGTGCAATGCACTAACTGTATGGAGGTGGAAGGTGCAAGCAGTTTGTCTCATGCACAGTCTCACAGGCACAGACAGGGGCCAAGTGTCCCCCATCCGCTGAGGTTAACAAAACTCATTCTCACAAGACTTGATTAAGCTTGTCTTTGGTGCAAGAGTCTTATGGATGGTTTGGTGCTCAAACACCATGACACTGGACCCTGTCTTGATGTACAAACAAAACATAAGAAATCTACCTTTTCTGTATTTCCGCTCTTGCCCTCAGTCTCAGAAAAAAGACAAAATTTATACGGAAGTTTGATTAGTGTGGCATACATTTACACTTTTTTGTAAACATCAAGAAAAGTCAAGCCACTAATGAATACATGGTTACCCTTGTTCTAGAACCTTCAAATGACCTTAAACATTTTCTTTTCAGAAAACACAAGTAGGAACATTGTAGCAATAAACTGCAATCAATTCACACACACTCCAAGGAATGCTATATCTAGATGCCATCTCTGATATTCCACATCCTCAAAAAAAATCACTTCGTTTTGGGGGTCTCTGCTGGTAACTTACACATAATAAGGAAGTATTTAACCACTTGACACTGGATGACGCATGCACACACATAATTTTCCTTACACGTATTTGTTCAACGGAGGATGTGCACACTCCTTTAAGAATTCTTTTTTCATTTCTGCGGTTGATGTACTTACACATCGTGCTTGGTCGGGTCAAAATGCAATTGCAAGGTTGAAGAATTTGCAGGTAAAATAATCCGCCCCCAGCAGCTTTTCCGGGTCAGAAAACCCGATGTAAACTGGCTATAGACTTGCCAAAATGTGATTTTTAAAAAAATGAGACGTAAAAAGTGATAATGAAAGTGCTGAACGAACAGCGTGTTTCCACTTGAATTGGGAAAACGTGGATCTTGATCTGGCATTTTGGTGTAATTGTTATTTTAGAGCAGCCAAACTGCAAGTCGCGTTCCCACTTACGCTTGATCCACCTTTTCGCACAGACATGTCGAGCCCGAAAGGTCATCGAGTTCGGTATTATGCATGCGCTTACTTGCTGAGCACGCGCTCTGTGGCAGGGTTGTGTGCTGACCCTTGTGGTGTTTTGGGTGCAGAGTTCTACTGACGTGACGACCTGGAATCGGACCGAATGTTTAGCCTAGTACGTTGTCTCTTAAACCTTTGCTTCTGTTTTCAATACTCTTTTACACACTGCGGGCTATATGCTAACACGGAATTAGTTTTGATGGAGAGCAAGTGAAATCACACAAATGAAAAAGGTTAAGAAACGGATGAATGCGCAACAAAAATTTTGAAAGGGCTAGGAACACATTGCGGCATGCATTCATCGTGAATGCGTGGTGACACATTTTGCTAGCCCCTAGGTCAGCAGTTGTTTATTGAGCATACTGTGCATGTTAAAAATTTTCACATGAGCTACACGCCAAAAAACATATTTCTTTGTTCATCAGACCGTAAACGTTTTGTGCCACTCGTGTGCGGACGGATGTTGACAGGTCAAATTGCCGGATCAGATCCATTTTTTGCGTTCTCATCTGATCATGATCCGCCAATTGCAGGATCTGATCTACCCATTGGGGGATCTGATCCACC